AAAACATCAGTAAATCTAGGAAATACTTTATCAATACCCATAGCTAACAATGATTGATTACTGATTTTATCTTCCAGTCTCCATGTTAAACCTTTATGTACAGTAGCTCGGAATCATGAGATAGGAGTCACAATCATCCCCATTTCACAGAGGAGAAAAACGAGGCTGAGAGAGTTGAAGGAAGTGGCCTGCTGTGAGAGGTAAGAGTGAGACTCCAATTTCAGTGGCTCTACTGCAAAGCCCACCGAGAACTCCCCAAATTCCAGAAAAGGTTCTCTAGGATAATTTTAGGTTATGGAGCACATTCCAAAAATATCCCCTAGAGTAGCTTTCTTTTTAAAAATGAAAATAGCCTTCATCTGTGCATCTTCTAATCCATGGTAAATTCCAAAAAACCACACAACCTGAAATGGCTAAAATTAATAAGAGACAGCACATGCTCTCATAGTAAGAACTTCCTGTTAAACATGTTAGAAGCATAAGCAAGTCATTTTGCTCCTCTGGGCCCCATTTTTTCAACTATAAAATGAACAGTTAGATGAGGCAATAGTTACACCTTCTAGAAGTGCTATGGTTCTTAGGCAACACTGCCAATGACCTGACATCCGAGCTTTCTTGGGGGTGAGGGTCTGGCAGCGGCTGAGCCCTGAAGCCTTTCTAGAGTATGCACATAGAAATAGATTCAAGACATCCAAGTTCCATTTAGAAGCCCCCAAAATCATCCTTGCCAGTCAATGATTTAGCCAACTCAGCTGGCACAATGCTGATACACTATAAAAACATTTAAGCTGTAATTTATAAACTGATTCCAAATCTTATATTAAGCAACCTGGCTTCTCGGTTCGTTAGAGTTTACCAAATGCTAAGCTCTAAACCTAAAAGTCAAGTCAAATGCAAAAGCAAGTATGAAACACTAAGTCTCTTCCTAGGAGCCTTTTTGATAAAGATGATACTGTTTCAATCTCCAAATATAATAACTACTGCTACTTTCCTGTTAATATCACTAGACACTAAATTTAAACAAAACAAATTTTTCAGTCTGTCTGTTTTAAAATATAAATTTCACAGAAGGAATTAAAAAATAAGTTTCTTTTTACAAAATGAGCTATCTTTTTCATTAGTCCAAACAGAGGAAATACACATCCGTGTTAAGTACTTTATACGTCCTATTTCTCAAACTCAAATAATTGACAAACCTCCTTCCTAAATTTCACATTTTTTGGTGAGTGGTTCTTGGTCTCTAATCTGTAACTGAATGAATGAATGGTGGTGGTGATTTAGTCACTAAATCATGTCCGACTTTTGCAACCCCATGGACTATAGCTCACCAGGCTCCCCTATCCATGGGATTCTCCAGGTCAGAATACTGGAGTGGGTTGCCATTTCCTTCTCCAGGGGATCTTCCCAACCCAGGAATTGACCCCAGGTCTCCTGCACTGCAGGCAGATTCTTTACCGACTGAGCTACTGAATAGACAGGCTTCTTTGGGGAACGCTGGAAGGCAGCCGGGCAGGAATATGCGATTTACTGGACTGAAGCACAGGTCAGCACTCAGTAGATGCCCCAGCAGGTGGAGGTGCCATGAAGCCAGGACTGCTGCGTCCTCGGTGTCGGGACCTACAGCCCGTAACAGGGCTGTGCACGTACACAGCAGGATCTCAGCGAACACTTGCAGGATGACTTGGTTGTTAAATTTTCAGCAGGATTCTCAGGTTTTGCTCTCAGGGTTTTTCCTCCCTAGCAGTAGAATGAGGATAGTAACACACGTCTACCTGGATTTTCACAGGGATCAACTACGAGCAGCTGCTGAGAGCATCTGCAGAGAGTGGAGCACTGAATCAGCGCTGGGCATCTTTATCAGCACTTCTGTCCACCTCCAGTCAGGGCACCTGGGTCACACGAACTGCTCACTGATCACGTGCTGACAAACTACATTTCTCCCTCATCCGCTTGACCTTCTGCATGTCTGATGGTTTATTTATAGTTTTATTTTGTATGCAGAAATTTTATTTTCACACTGAAGCAACATCACTTCTTTGTCCCCACTCCCCACTTGGTTCCTATTGTATTCTTTTTTGAGGCACTTCCACAGCCCAGAACACCAGTGGTAAATGTATCGTGCCTATAGGATTCCTGGCATCCAGGAGAGCCAGTGTTTAGGCTCCTTTTCCTAAACAACACCAGAGTTCACTGCCTCCCCTGGGCAAGGACATGAATGGAGGGAGACAAGAAGCTGTATAATAAACTTAGCATTTAGGTATGAAGGTAAAAACTCTTCTGAGTTTCTGTTCTTGTCCACTTTGGTGTTTTTTAAATGCCTGACATCCAGGAAGATGACTTATCCCAATGAACTTATGCTTCATTTATCAGCATGAGGTTTAAAGGTAGCCCTCCTCCATTATTGAATTAACAGTTGTATTTGAAAGATATGTTTTATCCTCAGAAACCAGTCACAAAGATCCTACCTAGTCCTTAAAATTCTGATTTAGTGATTTCATAACAGAAACTTTTAAAACAAGTCCTTCTCTGTTGCTTTCATGTCTACTCCAGAGCTTCGCTTAAAGATCTCTTGTTACAGAACCCACGCCTGTATCTAATATCATGGCAGCCAGGACAAAGAAACCCAAGATGAAAAATGTGACATTGTTCCCACTGATGTGACTTCATTAGAAGCAAACACATCAAAACCTCCATAGGTGCCAGCCTTGTGGCAAAGGCGAGGACAATGTCAAAAGAAATCTCTAGGTTGTGTCCACTAGCTTCACTCCCCGCCCCCCCAAAAAACCCCACAATGTCTCTTTTATTCACTTAAACATGCTTCACAGTTTGGTCATCTACAGATTCTACCATGTAGTTTGGACACTGGAATGCAGAGAATAAGATGTGATTGGTGAAATACAAAACACATTAGAGAACCGTGCACAGACCACTTGGAAACCCGAAGATGACAAGATGCAGGACCGGAGAAAAGGGTCCTCTGGGTTTCAGAATGAATCCATATCACACCCAGAGGCACAGGGCTATTGCATCAGGCACTTTACTATGGAGCACCATTTCAGACTAGACCAGGTGGATTGTGGTGCTGCCCTAAAAAAAAAAAAAAAAAAAAATCCCCTTTTGTCAATTCTACACTGATTTCAAATACACGAACAATCTACACTACATGGTAGTATCTGTGTGGCTTTGGGTCTCTGTAGCATAAACCTGATCAACACCAGCCGAGGGTGGGGCTTTGGAGGCTGTGTACTTGGGACTTCTGGGGTGCCACCCCGAGCGGCACAGGCTGAAATCCTCTCCACCCAGAGCACCCTGTGGGCACCTGGGGTGACTACCCCAAATCCTGCACAGAGCGTGGAACAAAACTGGTTAGAGATTCAAAGCGGGCAGAGCTTAGTTCCCGCTGAGGATCCGAAGACCCGGCCAAGGATTTACCAAGTCCCGACAATAACGTTCGGTTTTAGGAAGATCGGAGCGGCTCTCAACTTTAGCTCCCTGACACGGGTCGCAGGGTGACCGTGCATCTGACAATCGTAAGGGCTCGCGACGGCCCCAAGACCCGCAGCCTCCTCCAGGGCGCGGGGGGGACCGGAGTACCCGCGCGCTCAGAGGCGAGGGCATTTACCTCGAGTCGGCTAAGACTGGAGCTCTTGGAGCGCGACTTCTTGCGCAGGTACACGGAGAAGAACCTGCGCACCGTGAACTTCTTCATGCTCAGCTCCATCGCCCAGCGCCCAGCCGCGAGGAGCCGCAGGGCCGGAGGACGCGCATCCCCGGCGCATCCCAGGCGCGCGGGGTCAGGTCCGCTCGCGGGCGCGAGCGGCCGGGGAGCCCGGGACGGAGGCCATCGGCGCGGGGCGCGGGCGGCGGGCACAAAGGGCAGGCCGAGCCGGCCACAGCGGCCGGGGGCCCAGCGCTCCCGCCTCCTCCCTCCTCCTCCTCCTCCTTCTCCTCCGCACTTCATCAGAATCTGTAGTTGAATAGAACTGACTGACAGGGCTGCAGGAACATGTTAATATTCCCTGAGGGTGACATTCCAATTCTTGATTTCACTGGTTAGAATGAATTGTTACTGGAATTATTCCTACATTATCTTGTGTCTCTGTGGAAGCATTTATTTACCATGTCCTGCAAAGGTCTATCTTCAAATTGATTTAAAATGGCTTATAAGCACATCTTAGTCATCTCTGTCATCATGGCAGGGTTTGTACAGTGCTAGCATAAAGTAGTAGCTTGCACAATGCTAAGCACAAATCATGGGTGTTGGAGTTGTGATTAAAATAATACTGTGGTGTCTAAAGAGACTTGCTGCAAAGGGGATGCAGGTAAGGCTATTGCCACTATTTGGGGAACGTTAATACTTTCACAAGACTTCTCCAATGGCTCAGTGATAAAGAACCCATCTGCAGTGCAGGAGACAAAAGAGTCATGGGTTCCATCCCTGGTTCGGGAAGATCCCCTGGAAGAGGAAATGGCAACCTACTCCACTATTCTTGCCTGGGAAATCCTACGGACAGAGGAGCCTGGTGGGTTACAGTCCATAGAGTTACAAAGAGACACGACTGAGAATGTAGGCCCACACAATACTTTAGCAAACCTTTCCATAAAGTTGCTTTGATGTTTAAAAACTCC